CCCCCCCAACACCAACCTAGCAACCGATCCAAGCCAATATTTTCTCACCCCATATCTTACTGCTACCTCCATCCAGCCCCAGTTTTTAAACTTCTCTACACGCCCCTGTCTAACCCCACTTTTCATCCGCCTACCCTTATCCAAACCAACCGCTCTCTCATCAACTCTTCAAATGAAAAACTCTTCGGCTAAGAACCAACTTGCCAACCTTTTGCTAAATCTTGAACCCGCAAAAAATGTCTTTTTAATAAAATAAAAAATGCTCTTAAAAAAAAAGAAAAAAACTGTGCTCGGCTTCAACTCCGCATCAAATTTCATCACAACCTCAAATCCAATTTCCGAAACCCGAATCCGCCTGATAAACTCATCAAATAATTTCTCTATAGTAAATGAGAAAATAAAAGGAGAAGATTACGTTAAGGCCAGCCCTAGCATCCCCAGGGGGAAGAAACTCTGTTTGTTTTTGCCTGGAGTGCATGTCATCGAGTGTTGTTGGCGCGCCAACTTGTCAAGGAAGCCATTCTGTTAACCGATTTGTTAAAACAACCTCACAGCAATTTTTTGGGGGGGTTGCGATGTTTTAAGCGTCAAATAGAAGTAGATCTGATAGGATACGTTTAGTTAAGTTTAGATTGGATAAGATGTGAAGGGATGGAATACGATAAGTGGATATGAGTTGAGATAAGCTGAGACGAGACGGACTAAATAAATTCGGCATGACATGATTGTCATTGTGGGGCTTTTGATGGAGAAACACTGTACGATAAACATTAAATTATTATTCTTTTTAAAATGCTTTGTATGTTTGTACGAGCATCTTAACTCAGCATCAAAGCTTACATAATAAACGCCCCCCACCCCAACCCCAGTAAATATTGGCTCAACAAAACATTAACAAAAAAATAAAACGAAGACATGATAAACAAATAAATAATGTTTTAAGTTTTAGAAAGAACAACAGAATCATACCAACATGAAACAATGAACACAGAGATATTCAGGTATATCATGTTCTGGACTTCGCCCTCTCTGTAATTTAAACTGACTTTGGATTTAGATCTATATAGGTCGTCCTACATAGAATTTTTTTTCTTTTCGCTTTTTTATCTTAATCAAATAGTATGTGTGATTTCTTTTTCTTTTTTGTTTCCAGCTTCTGTGCTGTTTTTTCTGAGATTTTTTTCTCGTGTCCCTCTTTTCTATATAATCTGATTATACTGCCCTGAAAGCTCGAACTCTATTGGAAATCACCCGGAGTAACGTTATGCATTTTACATCTTCTCTCTCCTCACAGCTCCTGATGCATGGCACCGCGGGCGATGACGTAAACAGCGACGGTTCAGGGGAGAGCACTACGTGTGACAGTGGGCGTGGCGGAAGTGAGGAGGACAACGGAAGCCACGGGAGGGCGTCTCCCGTCAATAAAGGTGATTGAGCGCTACTTTGTTCTTCTTGCTGTGCGTGGACGCACGGGGTCCCTCAGTGCTTGCGGACGCCAATCTATATTCTTTGTGCTTTACCCCCCTCCATCCTGTTTTTCTTCTATGTCGGTTTGTCCGTTTTCCACTGTCCCTTGGTACCTCACGCCCCCCACCTTTCCCTTTCACCCCCCTCCAATCTCTCTCTATCTCTCTGTCTCTCTAAGTCTGTGTGTGTGTGTTT